TCTATAAAAGGTATAGTGGAAGATGATTACATTAAGGGCTGCCAGCTAAACTTCCTTTTTTCTTGGACATCCTCTTTAAAAGAATAGATGGTTGATCATTTTGTTTGTGTTGTTTTTGTTTTTGACATATCACAGTAAAGATTATGGGGCCGTTCACACCATTGCGGTGCATTAACCCCATGGTTCTGTGTGATTAATGCATGCTACCATGCAGTGCACCTACCATGCTTTATAGTGTGGGAGGTGCGTTGTGTTGCCATTCAATCGAATGGCATCCTCGGCCGCAATGTGCTCGAATGCACCTCAACGAGCAGTACTGCAATAGTTATTTGTAGCCGGAATGCACAGTAATGCAGTACCACATATTGTGGTGCGGCCAAGCACATTGTGGCCAGAGGTGTGTTTGGGCTGCCATTCATTTGAATGCACTATAAGCCATGGTAGGTGCATTGCGCAGCAGCATGCATTAACCATGCACAGAACCATGCGCTTAACGCACCGTACTGGTGTAAATGGGCCCTTAATCTTTACTGACATGTCAAAAAGAAAAACCGCACACAAAATGATCAACTATCTATTCTGTTAAAGAGGATGTCCAGGAAAAAGTTTACCTGGCAGTCCCCCTGTAATAACAAGACGTCTTCATCTTCCACTATCCCTTTATAGAAAACAATGAGCCCCCCATCACAATGTCATTAAGCCTGCATTCACAACTGCGCATGGTGTAAACGTGTGCCACGTTTGCTCGTGTTTGTGCCGCGTTTGCTGCACGTCCCTATTGAGTTCAATGGGGCCTGTACGAGCGACAAATGTGACAAAAGAAGCTAATTTTGTGACAAGAGTTCCGCGTTTGTGTGCATTTTCATGTGCACAAGCGCGAAGCAAAGAATGCACGTCTTCCTGGCCGCGTTTGGGGTGCCTTTAGAAATGAATGCCAAAGCAGGCCCATTTTTGCTGCGTTTTCCTGAACGCATGCAAATTGGGCAGGTGTGAATGCGGGCTTAAAGCGACTGGCATAATACAGAGGAAGTGCTAATTCATGGCTTGCACAGCAAGGCCCACTAACCAAAATGGGTCCAACCCTCTGTATGGCTTTATACTGGCACTCACAATGCCTTATCCATCTGATAAGATTGCTTGTATACTCCCTAAGTTATAACTAAATAAGACTTATTGTATTTCTTCCTCTTTTCATGATGCACCTCCCGCACTATAATGCACGGTAGGTGCGTTGCACGGTGCTGTGTGTTAATCGCACGGAACCGTGTGAATGGGCCCTAATACTGACCAATTATTTCCTAATGACTCCCACTACTATCTCAGTATAACACAGGCTTGTCTCTGTAGGAGACATTTGACGTCTCTTATCAAGTTGTTTTGTGTTTCTTCATTTCAGGCTAGACTCTTATCAGCTGTCTAGCGGATACAATGTGGGTTTCATGGCCAAATGAACCGTAATATGAGCCATGCCATTCCATGAATTAAACTGTGCTTGTAATGTGAGATAACCTCACTGTTTTGGGACGATTTCTGCCTTTTAAGGACCTGATGGGCCTTGAAAGTTTTATTAAAACAATAATCTCTTCTGTTCCCATATTTCACATACAGTATCTTTCTATATGTAAACATGATGAACTTTGCATTACCATGTATATAGCGTATAAGGCGTGTTATTCTTTTCCAGTGCAGATAGCTGGCTCTTATATCCCCTTTGTTACTCATTACTAACTAAGCTTTTTCCTTCCTCATACCTGCAAATATTCCAATCATATACTAAACAGTTTTTGTTTTCTGACATCGACCCCGATGTCAGAAAAAAAAACCAGACAGCACGGAAAGGTTTACTCTGCTAGATCGACCATAGTAAACCTTTCCGGAACAAAATGTTTCTCTCCCGGTTGTCCGGGAGCCGCTATCTACTAGCGGGAGACTCCCGGACCATCGGAGAGAGTTGAGATGTCTGCATTGCGACCGGCTCACTTTTTGTGGGGCAGGAGGGGACGTGGCAGGCCATTAAAGCGAATGGCACCGTAGCCACGCCCACCGGCTGCAATGCGATTGGCCGCACGGAATCGCAAGGCACATTATGCCTGCGGTCTGGTGCGATCAGAATGCTGCAATCACTATTTTGATTGCACCGGACCGCAAGCATTATGTGCCTTGCGATCCCGTGCGGCCGGTCGCATTGCAGCCGGAGGGCGTGGCTACGGTGCTACTCACGTTAATGGCCCGCCACTCCCCCTCCTGCTCCACAAAAAAGTGAGCCGGCCGCAAGGCGAGGCAGTGCGTTCTGGCTAGAATTGGGCCGAAATGCACTGCATCTGGTGTGAACGGGCCCTTAATGAGCAAACGCGCATAAAACCCGTCAGAACGGACTGCACTGATGTGAACAGAGGAAGAAATACCATAGGAAAGCATTGTGATGCGTTTTTGATGCAGCTGCAAAACAGAGCGGACTGCATTACTACTGCATCTGGTGTGAACTAGTCCTAAATGGCTGATTAGCTTTTTTCTCTGAATACAAAAATAGATGAAATCTTTCCGTGACATATGAAGGATACATTAAGACTGTTTATCTATTGCATACAATAGATTATACAATATGTGAACTCATCCCCTTTGCAGGCAAACTTATCTTATAATTATTAGGTCATTATGGAAAGGTATAATCTTTTTTTAATTACAGACAACTTGGTAAATGATATTGAACGTGCCCAAACAATACATCTAGGCTCTTTGTGTGTTCATATGTTAAACAACTCATTATACATTATGTTGAGCAAATGAACATACATCTTTACAAATCAGTTTTATTCCTTATAAATAGTACATATGGATGACTCATTTACCAGCAGCCATTTTTACATTGATTTCTCTTAGGGCTCCTTCACACTATAGCTTTGCGCTAAACATATTGGGGGGAAATGTATCAAAACTGGAGAAGACAAAATCTGGAGCAGCTGTGCATGGCACCCAATCAGCTTCTCTCTTCAGTTTGTTCAGTTAAGATTTGAAAATGAAAGAGAGAAGCTGATTTGTTGCCATGAGCAACTGCTCTAGATTTTGTCTGCTCCAATTTTGATAAATTCCCATCATGGATTTCATGCGTTTAGTGCTACATCATGGTGGGAATGAGATCTTGATGTACCCATAGACATGAGTTGATCGATGTCTTATCCTACCAGTTTCAGCAAGATTAAAAAGCAGTTGCAGGCAATAACTGAAACCTGTCAGTAGAAGTATCATTTTGGGGGGCCTTCTGTACACAAACGGAGTACAAAACGCCTTCAGATCGCCATATTGCATTGAATCTTTTAGACAGTTTTAAAAAAGTTCAGTGGCTGCAGTTTTAAATGGAAAGATAATTTTAATTTACATTAAATTGCAAAACGGCTTATGCAACAGTCATATGTTATATACTTTTTTTTTACAATTTGTTCATATTATAATTTTTTTTAAATAGAGTTTCCCTTTAAGTATGCAACCTTGGTGATCCAGCCATGAAGGTCCTTGTTCAGACACTTCCTGTTATGGGGTGACAGCTGTTTCCTAGTTGCATTTCCTACATTGCCACCCTGTCACATGCACTTCTGATGGAGACTACAAGCGGTTGTGCTGATGCACATTGCGCACCATTGTCAGTATTAGGAACCTGGTTCAAAGCAGTGATGTGTAGTGGTTGCTTGAGAGATTGTACATAGACAAGTGGGTGCAAAGAGAGCACAATAATGGGCTAAAAAGGAGAAAGCAATATTGTATTTAAAAAACGGCATTTATTCTAAATGCATAGGGGGAATTTATCAATACTGGAGCAAAAAGAATCTGTAGCAGGTGCCCTTGGCAATCTATCAGCATCTCTCTTCAGTTTGCTCAGGTAAGATTTGAAAATGAAAGAGAGGAGCTGATTGGTTGCCCCCCACCCCCAGTGCTTTAGCAAAGGAAAGATGTTTTGCTTTAGCAGTATTTAAAGCTGAAGCTTAATCTACTTATATTTGGCCTTTCTTGGTTCATCTCTCCCCTTGACCAATATGGTGAAATGATTACATGAAACCATTTTGTTTTTATTGCATACTTTATTTTAGACCCAGTGACATTATTACTAACTCTCTGTGCTTTTCTATGCAATGTAGGCAGATTGTTGCAGGTGTGAGGGGCTGCCTATAGCTTCCTAAAAACAGCACATCGCCCTAGGTAAAGTTCACATGTGATGCTGAACCTCCACTGTTTACAGAGCTCAAATGTACAAAAGGGACAGGCCAGGGACAGCTGGGGAGGAAAAGGCTAGATTAGGGGTACGCAACCTCAGAACTCCAGCTGTTATGGAACTACAAGTCCCGTGAGGCTTTGTAAGACTCCATCAGTCACTATTATGACTCCCAGTGGCAGAGGCATGATCAGAATTGTAGTTTCACCACAGCTGGAGTGCAGAGGTTGCCTAACCCAGAACTAGATGATGCTGGACGTCCTCCAACCAGGAAATGAGGCGTGTTCTATGTAACTTGCTACAATGTTTATGAGAAGCTCACAGTGTGCAGTGATATCAGAGTAAGCAATTTCAGTAAAGTAGAGGAGTCTTTACAACTGTACCAGACTGATGGTAAGTCTGGAGTTCATCTTTAATCTGCAGTGTCTCTTGTGTCACTTGCCCTTTGAATCGGCAGCCTACAAGATTGGGGCTTATCTCTTGCATACATTACACAGTCCAGTGGAACGAAGAAGAAATAAAAAGGTTCATGTGACGGACAGGTGTGCATTTTATCAGGTATAAGGTAACATCAGTGACATGGGCATTACATGCAGGGACTCGGCTGAAATACACATATTACATGAATGGCAGAATTGTTTCCATAGACAGCACTGGAGGACATTTCTGAAAACTTCTAAAAAGGAAAATGTAGTTACATATAACATACAATATATTGATTACTGTTTGGATATTCAAAAGATGATTGGATGATGATCGGAAAATAAAAGCTTTGTGATTTGTTCTATTTCAGGGTGAAGGAGAGCCAGAAACCTCAGCCATGCCAGTGCCGCCTCCTCCACCTCCCCCAGCACCTCCACCTCCACCAGGCGGCCCACCACCACCACCATTCTCCCAGGTATGCTCTTATCAGATGGTTCACGATGACGCAATGGCTACCTGGCTACACCTCTGAATACATTCTTATCTTGTTTTATGACGTTGCACAGATGAAATGAGTTTAGCAGGAGACCTAAACATACCTAGTTGTGGTTACACCAAACAGACACTACATAGCTTGCCCATTTACTGCAGGATCTATATAGTGATCTGCTAATCAATTCCGAGGCAAATTATTGGCTGTCCTCTATATAACAAGTCTGATGTGTGTTATGGCTTTGTAGGATTTATATTTGTTCATCATACTGTATACCAGGTGTAGGCAAGCTTCCGCCCTCCAGCTGTGGCACAACTAAAAATCCTATCATGCATCTGTCTCTGGGAGTCATGCCTGTGGCTGTCAGTCTTGCAATGCCTAATGGGATTTGTAGTTCCACCACAGCTGGAAAGGAGAAGTTTCTCTACCTCTGCTGTATACTGTATCATACTGTATAAACGTAATGCTGGCCATGCACTGCCCTCGGGACCCCATTCAACAAAAGTAATTTTTTCATCCTGCAGCAACCTGTAAAACCTTCCTATTAGGGATGTACTCGCACTCGCCAAAATGCTTCGATACATTCCCCGATAACGGAACTTCCGGTCAGAGGTGGATTTCCTCTGACCGGCAGTGCCGTAGGGGAACATGGAGCCAGCTGGGCGGCGAGTAATGACCCGCCTCCTGGATTCCTGATTGGCTCCATGCTGATTGGCCGGGAAGTTGGCTTTCCAGCCAATTAGCATCAAGCCGGCTTCCCGACTAATCAGGAAGCTGGGTGGCAGGTCATTACTTACCGCCTGGCTTCCTGATTGGCCGGGAAGCCGGCTCGATGCTGATTGGCTGGGAAGCCAGTTTCCCGGCCAAGCACAATCAAGCCAGCCAGACAACATGGAGCCAGCTTCTCGGGCAATCAGATCACCCGGGAAACTGGCTCCATGCCAGCGTAAGCACCGATATCGGTACTCAATATCTCCGAGTACCGAAAGCAAAGTATCAGTACTCGTACTCGATACCGAAAAAACTTTATTGGTGCATCCCTACTTCCTATCATTGCTGGATACTGACAGGAATACATCTAACACATCCAAGTAGCATCGGAGCTTGCTGCTAAATCACAAAGATTCCTGTTGGACCATTACGATGATGGGCTACCTTGATGGCCAATAGGAATGTGCAGGAAGTGCCAACGTTTGACTGGTGAGAATAGTCCATATAGCCGTAAATCAGGGTATTCGAGCTTGTTGCATGTATGTGCAACCACCTCCAGGTTGTTGTGTCTTTTCTTCCCCCATTTGTGATGCATGGTTGGCGAAGTGGTCATTTCCATTTTTATATGGCTTAAGCTGGCCATACATTGCATGAATTTCCGTTTGTTCTTGAACCGGCCGAAATTCGTTTAATGGTTGGCCCTGTCACCACCCTTCCGTTTGGCATCCTTCAATCAGAGACTTAATGGAGCTGGATAGAAAGATTTGGCCGATCACTGTTTGGGTATTCTAACAGATTTTGGCATGCCCACCGCTGTCAGAATACAACAGCCCAGTGGGAGACCTTGCTTAGCTTGGATGAAGGAATCTGTTACAATAGTTTGTTCAGCCTGCAGGTTGAATGAAAAAAAATATAATAGTGTATGGCCATCATTAGTCAGCATAATGAGTTGCTTTTCATCACCCATATACATCGTATTTCGGCTCTTCATCGTTAAAGGAGAACTATGAGGCGAGTGCTTTTCACTTACCTCATAGTTCTAGCCGACCTGTGACAATGAGACTGTCACAGGTCGGCTCAGTAGATCGGGAAGTGAACGAAAACATACCGGCGTTCGCTCACTTCTCGATCCTTTCACGGCTCTCTGCCGTGACAGGGGAGGGGCTGGATTCCCCTCTCCCCGCTCCGATCCTCCAGCACTGACTGGCGGAACGGATGGGGGAGGGGGCGGGTACAGCTGGCTTTGCCTCTAGATAGGCAGAGCCAGCTGTCACTCACACAGCTGGGCGGATCCAGACATAATTGTCGGGATCCGCTTCAGCTGCGGCGTCTCAGTATACCGCTAGCAGCAGCTCGCCGTGTACTGAGCCTAGGGTGACAGGAGGCCGCTAGTTTGTGTCCTCCCGTTACCCTTAGGAGAACTATGGGGAAAAGCCCTAACCCCATAGTTCTCCTTTAACCCATATACTGACTGACTGTTGCAAGCAGTGCTTGGATCAGTGAAATCCCATACTTTTAAAACCCTGGCAAATATGCAAAGCATTTAATCCAGTTATGGGTTTGTTAAAAAAATAAACATTAGGAAACATATTCATAATGCAGTGAATCTGACATTCAGCAAAGAATCACTGCACGTGAATATTCCAGATGCATGTGTTTTTAAATGGCAGTGATTGAATTACCACCTCTGAATGTTTGGTGAAAGTCACATGTGCTGCTATATTAAAATGCCCCTAAATGTAATTTTACAAGAAAGAAGCAAGAGTACTTGAATCTTCCTTGGTGCCAGCATTCTATAATCCCTTGCACAACAGAACCAGCGAGAGCTTTCTGAGAAGAGGTGAGAGCAAAGAGATGATCTGATCAGTGTACCGCTGGTTCTTTATTGTCCAATCAAAGGCTGAGGTGGATCACAGACCAAAATGTATTGCTGAACTGAAATGTGTTCTTCAGATTGGTCTCAGGGGGTGCAAGCTTTCTGGCAGGGGTGTCTGGAGCACAAGACTGTTAAGGAAGTTAAAGAGTTTATCTGCTTGTATATCAGGTGTATATTTAGCTACTTGCTTGGAAATCAGCTTTAAAACAGAAGTAAAGCCAATCCTTTTTTTGGCTCTTATGTTTACTTTTACATTTACTAGTGTACTCTTGCGTCTCAATGTGAGCGGACTAATGCCCCCTTCGGTTGATGAGGCAGAGCCATACCATGATTGAGAAGGATCCCCACAATATTGTCAGGATTCGCCTAATTGACTGCAGGATCTGCCTCTCTGTGCCCGACTGAGAGCCAGAACCAGCTGCGCCAACCCCCCCCCCATCTGTAGCGCCAACCAGCGATGGAGAAGCAGCAGGAGGAGGGGGGAATGCCTGCAAGAAGCCGTGACTGAGACCTTTAAGACACAGCGCTGACCAGTTACATGACCGCTGATTAGTCAGCTCTTGGTCTCCACTAGGAGCAGCGAGCCAACTGATCAGCGGTCATGTGATCGGTCAGCTCTCGATCTTATAGCTGGCATGGGACAGCCGCGGCATCATAAGGGTGCTGAAGCATCGCAGAGAACACAAATGTGTACTATTTTATTCACCTAAATGTCTCCTTTAAAGGGACGCTTTTCCTATAGCAAGTACTTCAGTTTTGAGGAGATAAGAGGTGGGTTGTATCAACTGCAAACTTCCATTTTTTCTATGAGATCTCAGTTATGAGATTTCTCCCTTTGTGTCTGACTTCCCTCACCAGGCAATAACAGAACAAATGAATTTCCAGTTATTTGTTTTAACCTGCTCCATGGAGAACCCATTGGCAAAGTATGACATCATCAATCATCATTTGATTTTGTAAGGGCTGCTGATTTTGTAATTGCAGCTATGGAAGAGAAAAGCCAATGTGTAACTCAAACATCGGATATGACTTCAGTTGGCCTTTAAACTACCTGCAACAAAAGCACATTGGCCGTTTAACAGGCATGACACAATATATCTGGGAAGTCGCTGTGAAATACTTCACTTTAAATGGCAGGTGGCGGTTCCTCTTGTGAGTGCTGATTTTGTAAACTGGAGTTTCCTCTCCATTGCTGGCAGTTGTTACAGTTAGCTGTAAAAACAGTGACTTTAGCACTTTAGTTTCTTGAATAGCCTCCCAGTAGGAACTCACCTCTCATATAACAGAGGAATGTGACAGATGGTTCCGCCTGTTGTTGCTGCAGTTGTCTGCTGTCACGGTAATAAATATTCACTTGCAGCTTTTCTTTCCATCTTCTTATAGTTTACGTACGAAAATAGTCATTTCTTGAAAGTCCCTGGGACACAATGGACATTTGTTCCACATTGTGCAAAACAGATGTACCCGCCAAATGATATGTTGGCAGCTGGGCACAGGATACTGCCTATTTCTCTAGTCTGCTCATTATTTCCATGTTTATATAGCCAAAGGAAGGAATTCTTGCAACAGAAAGCATGCACATTATGTGGGACTTAGTAATACCAAGGGATTTATAATGAGTTTATATTATTTGGTACATGTTTTTAGATAATATTTATTAAAGTGGAAGTAAAAAAATAAGAAATAAATCACTGGGAGGTTGGAAATAGGCAGAAGACATGCAAAGTCTCTTCTGCTGAAAAAATTCTTCCTCTCTCCCCCAGTGATTTTTTTAATTTTCTGTGTACAATGAATGGGCCGGGTGCCGGAAAGGATGTGACTCCTGTGCGCATGCGCAAGAGTTACATTATCAGTGGCCACCCGGTGGCCGAAGAGGACTTCAATGAATGCTAAAGTGTCGGTAGCCAGGGACAGTGATGAGGACCAAAGATCTATCTTACAGCACTGAAGAAGGGCACACTTGTAAGGTAAGTGTGCACTAATGTGCTTGTATGCTGTGCATACCTGCACATTAGGACAAAAACGCACATATATTACACTGTAAACCTATGTGCCTGTATTTGTGCCTGTGTGCATGAGCCCTAACAAAACATAAAATCTCTGTAATCGATGCTTTTTCATCGTAAAATCCTGTACTCTAAAGCTGCCTGCACAGGGATTACATTTTGGCTAATTCAGCAAGAATTGGCTGAATTTTGATTTGTGGTTAGCACCTATCTCCTTTGACAAAAGTCAATCTAACGTTCAAATTTTGTTGAAGGGACACATTGGAAAATTGTTGGGTGAATAGTGCTTGCTGCCAATTACCTGCAAGCAGTTTGGGTATTTTGACAGCGGTGGGTGCTGCTGTCAGAATACTAAGGACAAAGCGTGAGATTCATCCATCCACACTATT